TTTTGAATTCTAAAAACAATAGGGCCATTTAGCTTTCAGCCATTGAACAACTGTAGAAACTATTTACACTCTTTATATCTTACCAGAAGTTAGGATTCAATGTCATTCTACTGATGAATACAGCTATAATATGCGTGTTAGGGGGAATGGCTCAGAAATCATGCTTTAGTTATTATGCTGTTCATATCCTGTGTTCATTATGTGGGGAGTGGAGGGGAGTACATGTAATATAGTTTCTAATGTCAGTACTTATATGGAAGCAATTAGCAGGAACGACGAAGATCTAGAAACTATAAATCCATAAACTATAAACCAGGGATCCCTCTAGCATTTGCCCTATCTCTATTCAAACTAAGCTCTTCATGGATGATAAACAAATATAACCTTTTTCTCCTTGATCTACAAAAACAAGATTTAGGTTTGGGACCTTACCAGGATCTGCACTTCATCAGACAGTTCCAACAAATTCCCCTCAAACTGCCCAGAGGAAGTGTTGAGGCAGCGGACGGTGACTTTGATACTGGTCCGACCAGCTGCTTTGGTGTGGACAACCATGGCAAAGTTATTCTCTGCTGGGAGCTGCAGAAACACCTAGACAGCGAGGGGACGGATGAAGAAACATTCATGAATGAATACTGTGCCCCTCCCTCTGTTGGAACAACGAGGAAAATGTAAGTGGGAGATAGCTCTGGAGAAGAGCTGGAGTCCCAGGGCTTGTTTTCAAAGTTGCTCCTTTTCATATTCTTAGCAACACAGTCACCCCTAGTGTAAACCTCTGTTTGCAGGGCCCACCTACTTCTGGCCTCTGTAAGAGTCTTGTTATCTTGAAGTCAGTTCATTGACAGGAGAAGAATGGAAATGAAGAAAGGGGTTTGCAGAGTGCGTTCAGGCAGGAGAAGCTGAGATGGGAGACAAGCGAGGCAATCTCCTCCTGGAGTTCAGAGTGGCAGCAAGAGAGCAAGAGGACAGGAAAGGGACTCCTGTTTGAGGCCTCTGCTGACACCTGCTGACTGTCTTCCCCACTCGCTGTCCTCACCATTCTGGCGGAGGCTGGGTGGGGATTAGACCTGGGCAGATTTCTGGCTCAGGGGAGCTCAGCTAACAGTAACACAGAGGCTGAAGTGGGCACCTGCCCACCTTTTGGGCACACATTTCATGTCCTATGTCCCCTGCCTTCTTGGTGTCCAGAGCCCAGACCTTCCTTCCAGTTCTCTTGACTCACACAGAGTTTCAAGTTCCAAAATCACCTTTCCATCTGCCCTCCACGAAAACTTCCATTGCCTTTGTGGAATCGCAACAGATTTCAACTGGTTGTCTGGAAGAAAGTCTTATGCTAAAGGACGAGGTTTACAACTGTCTGATCCAAATGGTGACACCACAGTACAGGAACTCTACCTTGGGGGGCCCTGGAGACCTTCCTACTGCCTATGTCATAACCCAGCGTGCCCCTGCAGGGCTGAGGCAGGAGCCGTCTTTGTGTGACTCGCAGTCATTGCTTCTGCTAGAGAAAAGAGTGGTGCTTTAGGTAAGAGCACTGGAGGGAGGTAGAGGTAGAACAGTCGCCGGGACCGAGGCCATCCCCTGCTGTCACACAATCCTTATTTGCTGCTCCAGAAAAAGACAAGTCCCAGGGCAGAACTCCACCAAACAGCACCGCTCCATCTCTCCTCAGCGCACGGTAGGACCAGGCCCTGGGAAGCCCAGGACAGACAGGCCCAACCACCGGAACTCCCCTATCTAGGTGATAGATCTCAGGTGTTTTTAGAAAGATTGCAAATAGACTATTTACTTTCCCCAGACCCCCTCTTTTCCTGTTACCTCGCCCCAGACACACCTTCATTCTAGCTCCTCTAGCTGCTCTGTTCTCTCCCACGGTCAAATTCTTTGTTCTCACGGCCACTGAATTGTGAACTACTGGGTACCTTGGCCCCAGGTTCCTTCTTTCTAAGGTAGAGCCCAGACATAGGTGGCTGCCACTGTCCCCATGCCACCGTGGGTAGGTTCCACCAAACCGATGACCAGGTAACGTTGTGAACTAGGTGAAGTCTGTCTGCAGCGATCACCTTTCTTTCCTTGTCCCCGCTTCAGAGTGAGGCTTAATGCAATGTGCATTAACACACCAAAGCCATTTTCATGAACACAGAGTCTTTGGTTGCATCGTAGATTTCCTCCATGTCCATCGCAAGGGCTGCAGCCAATCCAGATGCGGGAGGCGCACAACTGGGAGGGCCGGCACCGCCCACGGCAGCCATGGAGAAGCGGGTCAATTCATCCTCCTCCTGAAATTCTCTATTGATACAAGGCACTCAGTCCAGACTCAGCGGCCATCGGGTGGCCACGCCAGCCCCAGGGCACCCACAGCGCCCCCAGTGCGCGCACAGTGCGAGTCCAGCTCGTCCCCAGCTCCCGGGAGCGGGCCCGGGAGTGTGCCCGGGAGCGTGCCCTGCAGCCGCCTTTCGTACAGGTAATGTCCACTGCGTGTCACACAGCTCAAACTTGATTCTGAATGTAATCAAATGTTTGAACATGTCAAAAGATTAATATTTAAACTCTATGTACAGAAATTTTATATTCATAATGTGCCACTCCTGTAACTTGCCATCTGCTCACCCATGTAACAACAGATGCATTCTTAAAGGAAACACCGCTTTCCAGAGTTCTTTCTAGGGAAGTATATTAAAAATCACATGGCACTGCCTGAACACTCACATTTAGATGCTTCCTATGAGTTACAGGTTTCCAGCATTCATAGAACAACAGGAAAAGGAGATAAGTAATAATATTATGTAGTTTAGAAAGCGAGTCAGTCCAAAACATATGATGAAATAAACGTCCTGATAAGATCCCTAAGATAACGTAGTACACAGATGAAGTCACACCTCTGAATGCCTGGGCATGAGATCCAACACATCCCGTTTGCTCATGGACCAGTGGAATGTGAGCCCAGGGCTGGCGTTGCTGAAGGAGAAAGGGGTCTGGGTGCTGGTCACCCCCATGACGTAAACTGGCATCTGGAAAGATAAAGAGATTTTGTGCTCTGTACCCTGCCCACGTGGCACTGTCCACATCCCGGGCTCAGAACAGAGTCATCAGACTGACCTGGGTGGCGGTGATGAGTCGAGTGGCAGCTGCCAGGATCCTAACCGCTTTTAGCCGAACGACTTCAATTTGGACTTCGTCCTGCTCAACAGGGTGGGGAGCGGCTTAGTAAGAGGGGGTGTCGGCTGCACAGAGAATGGGGTTGTTGGGGGCATTCAAAAACAAGCCAACAAAAACGTGCCACAGTAGGTGTGCTTTTGCTTTTTAGACAATTCCCTGAAGACAGGGACTCCGTCTTCTGACAATGCCGAGAACTCTGTGGGTTTCCCCCTGAAGATCACCCACTTCCCAGGCCTGGGTAAGAGCACGCCGGATGAGGGCGCTCACAGGGTTTTCCCCGGGCTGGGGACACGCCCCTTTTCCTTCCTCCCTCCCGGCCTCCCAGTGTGGCTCCCAGATGTTAGAGGAGAAGCCACGCAGGACAAAGAACCATACCTGGGAAAACACGATGACTCTGCCAGTGTCTTCGTTCACTGTCTGGATGGTGCCACGGAGCACAGCTGTGCCAACCACCTGCCCTGTGACTTGCCCCCTGCTGTTGACAGCGGCCACGGTCTGATTACTGATGGAGAAGTGGATGATGGACTGGGGCTGGGGGCCACCTTCAGACGTTACCTGGAATTGGAACACACCCGTGAAGGCCCAAAGCACGGGGAGAGGACACACCTCTGTTCCCAACATTTTGTCCAAACAACGTGACGTCTTCATCTGCCCCCACTTCCCACAGGCATATCCCCCATCAACGCAAATGCAGAAGAAATGGAAGTGCTACAAACGATCCATGGGACTCTCAGAGGTTTATACTATGGTCATCATGGAAATGGGAAAGTACTACTTTTCTTCCTTATCGTTGTACTTGACTGGGAGTAGANCCAGTCCACTCCATTTCATCCTATTCCATTATTTATGAGTAATTCCCTAAACTCACCTGAACCCCAGTTATGGTTGTCTGGTTGACACCAAAAGGTTCTATGGAAGTGACTTCCAACACAGCAGTACCTGCAATGGAACCAGCTTTCAGGAGCCCTTGGCCGTCCTCCTCAATGACAGATGAATTAGGGAAACACCTGAGAACACGGGAGCTCACAAAGGCGGCCCCTTCCCTAGGGAACAAAAGGAGCAAGTGGCATCTCATGGGGGCTCTGGTTGACCAGAAAGAAAGGAGTGGAGGTTGCCAGGATCACTGCTCGAGGCTGTACTCTGAGCCAGAGATTGTCATTCCCCATACTGTGTGCTCATTTGTTCCTCGGGTAAAAGCCTGCTTTTGGGTTATGCTTATCTCTTTAAAAATCAAATCTTACAATATGCTTATCATTAAAAAATATTTGGCCCAAAGAACTGAAAACAGGATTCAAACAAATACGTGTACAGGAATGTTCATAGCAGCACGAGTCACAGTAGCCAAAAGGTGAAAACGATCAAAATGTTTGCCGATGGGATAAGCAAACTGTGGTCCACCCATACAATGGAATATTATTTAGTCATACAAAGGAGTGAAGTGCTGATACATTCTTTAACACAGAAGAACCCTGAAAACATGATGCTACGTGAAAGCGGCCAACACAGGAGGTCACATATTGTGATTCCATTTACATGAAATACACAGACGAGTTCAATTCATAGAGGCAGCTGATTAGAGGAGAGACGGGGAGTGACTGGTTAATGGGTATGGGTCTCCTTTGGTGGTGATGAAAATATTTTGGAACTAGACAGGTGATGGTTGCACAACTTTGTGAATTTAAAATGGTTAATTGTACGCTATGTGAATTTCATCTCAACTAAAAAGAAATGATCTGTGGGTTAGAAAAATCACTTAGATGGCAATAGTTCTTTCACGTGCCATGTTTTACTGAGGGTGAAGTTTGAACCCAGCCTGCCCTTCTCCACACTCCTTACCTGTTGGTATGAAGTTTGAGTTGAGAATTCATGGGCATTAGAATTTGCTCAGGTTGGCACTCTGGATAGAAAAGTTGGAGCTTTTCAAACACCTATAATGAGAAAATAATTTTTTCCTCATTTCTAGATAAGACAAAGGACCTCTACTCACATATAGACAACTACAAATCAACAGTCTGCCTACTTTCTATTTCTATTTAGCCTCATGTCCCACAATCCTCCTTTCCAAAATAAGTCAGGCACTTAAAACATATATAGGTATTCTAGAATATATTCTATAACCTAATATTTGCCCTGCTTCTGACTACAAGAACTGGGGATGTGGCCAAGTTTACACTTACTACAGCCTCTGTATTACTTAGATATTAAGCATAATTCTGAAATTTCTAATTTTATCTCCTGTAACCCGAAAAGAGATTTGAGAACAAAGAACCTAGAATGTTAAATTAGCAAGGAACAGGGCTGGCCGAGTGGCTCAG